TACTACAGAGCTAATAGTTATGATGTGCTTTTATATTATATATGTTATATATAATATGTATATATTTATGTATAACTGCTGTTATGGCACTGCATGATCAGCACTGATGTGCAAACCCCAAGGCTGACAATCCTACTATCTGCTCTTTGGAAATCTTATACAGGGTTGCTACAAGTCAGAAATGACTCAGCAGCGTTTAACAGCAACAGTATATAACTTATACACATATGCATACATGTTATGTGTAGCACATATAAAATGAATGCACACCATAAGTGTTAGCTCAGTGAACAAAATACTACAAAATGAGTCAGGGCAACCAAACTAAAGCCCTATGTGTTCCTTTTATTAGATATGTAAACTTTTAAGTATTTATCACTTAAATACTCTTGGCTAAATAAGTGGGGTTGTTTTTGTTTTTGTTTTTTGTTTTTGATTTAACAAACATTTATTTCTCACAGTTGAGGAAGGTAGCAGTGGGAATTTGGAGCACCAGCTCCTGGGGAAGGCTTCTTCTTCTGTCTGCTCTGGGGGAGAATCCTTGTCTCTTCCAGCTTCTCTTCTTTGGTTCCTTGGTGATCTCCCTGTGGCATCAACCTTTTGCCATTTGTCCTTCCTTGCTTCTCTTCCTAATCCACTTTTTTTTTTTTAAATGTTTTATTGTGAATTATGCAACAGTTTACATGAGAGAACATTAGCTTTACATTCATCCTATCGTAAATTGTTTCATTGCCATGGTTACAATCCTCTCCATGCATCATCAACCAATTAAAAGGTATACCCTGAAAGCCTGTCCCCTGGTAATCAGCACACAGCCCTGCTCCCTCTCTGGGTCTAAAGTCCCCAGCCACTCCATCTCTCCACATCATCATCTCTGCCTGCATCTCTGGCGTCACTCTTTCTCTGGGTAGGGTCCCTCTCTCTGCTCTTCTCCCTTGGTGGTCCCAGGGACCTCTGCTCCTAGACTGCAAAGTCAATCACTTCCTTCCTTTTGCTGCAAAATGTCTACCTTTACATTTCCAACCCTCACAATCAGTCCTGATAACAATTATTCACGATTATATCATAAGATACCTATCTGCATCTCCTTTCATCAGCCCCACCCAGACAGATTGGATACTACTCAGTGGAGACTCTACCTTTATCCGTGCTCTCTGGATCTAGGCTCCCTCTTGAAAGCTTGTAAGCCAGTCACTTCTCGCCTTTGTGGGGCCCCCATTTTGGGTAGCCAATGTCCAAGTTGTCCATACCCGTCTACTCTGTGTATGGAGTGGGTGGGAATGATCCTCGCTGTGAAGATTTATTACCTCTTTTGAGCTACTGCATCCATAGGTCTAGATCAAGTACATCAAATTTTATCTGATTACTCTTTTTTTCCTCTTCTTTCTTCTTCTGGTTGAGTTCTGATCATCCAGTCATTGAAGCAAAGTTGAGTGGATAGTATCTGCAGGTGTGGGTGTTCTTATGCATACGCCCTCTCTTCTTATCAGCTGGACAAATCAGTTTTAAATGTAAAGTACTAAGCACTATGAAAATAAATAACTCACTGACATGGAATAGCCATGTTTTATATAAATTAAATATAATCCCTTAGTGCAAAAAGCAAAAATAAAGGTCAACAAGAAAAAGGAAACAAGTGCAAATTGCTACAATTTAAAGAACCTGACTTATACTTATGGACATAGTAGCTCAAAATACCAACTGAGAGGTAAGGAGACTTCATATCAAGGATCAATCCTATCCCCTTTGTAACACAGGATTGATAGGGATGAGCAACTTAGACCTTGGCTACCTAAAATGAGGGGTCTATAAAGTCATGAAGTGACTAACTTACAAGTTTTCAAGAGGCAGTTTAGTTACAGAATGTGTGGGGAAATGTAGAATCCTCACTGAGTAGTTTTCGTCTTGACTAGATAGGTCTGGTGAAAGGAGATGGGGGATAAGATTCTAACAATTCAATAGTAATTGTTACCATGACTAATTGCGATTGTCACAACCATAAAGTTAGAAGTTTTGTAACATAAAGGAAGGAGTAGTTAATCTACATTTCAGGAACAGTGGACTTTAGGACCATCAAGGGAGAAGAGCATAAGTGGGATGTGGGACCTATTCCAGAGAAGCAGTGACACCAGAGATGGAGACAGAGATTATGACATAGAGAGATAGAGCATCTGAGGACTCTAGATGCATGGAAAGAGAGGGACTAAGTGCTGGCAGCCAGAAGGCAAGCTTGCAGAATGTGCCCTTTGGTTGTTTAAATGATTATATATTCCTGTGTCAATCAAAAAAAAAAAAAAGAAGCAAATACCGTTGAATGATGTTGCACAGAGGAGATTGTAATCATTGCAATGAAACAAAACACCATAGGATGAGTGTAAAACCGATGTTTTCCATGTAAACTGTCACTCAATTCTCATTATTATTATTTTTTTAATATGTCAACAAGGATCAGAGCAGAAATCAGCCACAGCAGTAGCCAATTTAGTTTGAAATGAATGTGCTAAAAAGACACGGAATGGCATTTTTATGAAACACATTGGTTCATTTACCCATCTCATCAAGACTATTAGTTTCAGAGGAATCAAATTTGTAAGTTAAGCTACCACTAATAAGTTGATGTTTGAAAGTCCCTTTAATTTTACAGAAATTAAAACAAAGTAAAAAGCTATGGACAAGACTCTCTGGAAAAATTAAACTATCATCAAATATTAATGAAAAACAAAAGTCACTACAACAAATTTTTGGATTAATTTATGAATTTTTAGAACAAAGTAAGTTTAGTATTCAGCACACTATCCATCCATTTACTAATTCTAAAATATATTGCAATTCTAATATAATTATTCATTCGTCCAATATTTCAGTAACCACTATATGCTAGGTGCTTGGGCTCTAAATGTTGGTCATTTAATTAATTTAGTGTCCTTTCACAAATGGAAAATCAAAGAAATAAATGAGGAGGATGACAGCTTGTAATTCTTGTGAAGAATAATGATACTATTAAAAATAAATAATATTGTTGTTGTTGTTAAGTGCTGTTGAGTCAATTCCGACCTATTACGACCCTGTAGAGGATTTTCGAGGAGCAGCTGGTGAGCTTGAACCATTGATCTTGCAGTTCAAATGGCCTTGCAGTTTGACGCATTAACTCACAGCGCCACACCAGGACTCCATAAATAACATTGTTGTTGTTGTTGTTGTTGTTGTTGTTGTTGTTAGGTGCCATCGAGTCGGTACCAACTCATAGCGACCCTATGCACAGCAGAACGAAGCACGGCCCGATCATGGGCCAACATTGTTGTTGTTGTTGTTATATGCCGTGGAGTCGGTTCCACTCATAGCGACCCTGCACAGGGTTTCCGAGGCTGTACATCTTTACAGGAGCAGAAAGCCTGCCTCATCTTTCTCCCGCAGAACAGCTGGTAGTTTCTAACTGCTGACCCTGAGGTTAGCAGCCCTATTTGTAACCACTACGCTATCAGAGCCTTTAAATTAGGATGTCAGGAATATTTTGTGATTTATATCAGAAAACCAAACTGCAAAAAGAAATGGATGTAATTATGATAATAAAAGCATAGAAATAAGTTTTCACAGAATATAAATAAAAATGTCTATTTGAAAATTTAAGGAAAATTGATTATTTTCTATGTACTAATTTGAGAGGGTTGGAAGGTGGTTTAATAGAGATTTATAGGGCTGCTTTGTCAAGTATTTAGTTTCAATTTAGTTAAAAAGAAATCTTTGTGATAAAGAGAAATAATATAACCTTAGTATTTGAGAAAGTTTAGTCTTTCAGAAGATATAGCTGGAGTTTGGAGAAAAACTGAGATTCAGCGAGTAAACATTTTGATCCTGGTTGTTAATAAATAAAAGTTAAATTTAACGTAGAATAACAACAAATTCAGTAAAGAAGCCATTAGTTTGGGTTATAGAGTACCTGAATAAATATATAAATTAAACACAGATACACGTGCATACACACACACAGAGAGTTCTCCAGTTTTCCAATTCAATCCCTAGGTAAGTAATCATTTATATAGAGAGAACATAGGAAATGATACGCGATATAATCTAGTCCTATTTCTCACTTCATGTTACAATAGGGAAACCATGTGTAAGAAAAATGATATATGTTCTCCCTCTAGTAGACATCCCTTTGTATTTCCCCAACTTGAAATTTTAAAAACCGTTATCAATGAAGGAAACTCAATTTACTATAGTCAGCAATGCTTCCTGGTCAGAATCATGCCAGGTTTAATGTGATGATTATATAAACAATTGTCTTGTTCTGCTCATGCCCATGAACCACATTCTTTTCTCCGTCCCTAAACAATTCCAAGGGTTTATTATTGACTCCTGTAATCTGACAGAAGGTTAAGGAGAGAGAACCACACCTGAAAATGTCTTACATTACTAAATTGTACTGTTTCTCGGGAGGGAACATTGGCAGATCCTTTTGTGGTTCTGTGACTTAATCCACAAAACTGCTGACTCTCCTAGTTCTAGGCTGAGATCACCTTCTCCTAATACTCTCCAGACTCCTTTTATGCTCTCTTTCTCTTTTTTAAAGGGTGAAATGCTAAGTACAGCCTACCTTTGTGAGGGGCCTGTCACTCTATCTCACAGTAAGGTCGTGATTGGAGGATAAGATTGTGTCCAGTGGCTCCGCCCCCGCTTCTCATTGCCGCTTTAGCTTTCTCTGGGTTTAAAGAAAGGTGGAGAACGGAATTCAGGCAGTCAGCGCTGGAAGCAGGTGGATAAGGATCCTTGTTTCTTCTGCAGTTGCTGCTGTTTTTCCAGTCGTGGGTCTCAATTAGGAAAGGACAAGTATTCTTCCTTTGCTGCTAGAGTTTAGTGAATTGTTGTCCAGAACCAGACACTTAATCTCACCCCTATCCCGGTGTCACTGTATAAATCACGTGCACATTTGTAACTCTGTGAACCCCACTCTGCTCAATTCTCAAGGAAAGGAGTCTAACAGGAATTACAAATCTTTGGCTGAAAGGGTCTCCTCCTGCGGGGAGCTGTCTAAGGTGCTGAAGCTTTATAAATGATTGTCTCTACTAACAAAATGCATGGTTAGATTGCGTTGCTTTCTTTCTGGTTTTCCATTCCTTGGATACAACTAATTCAGGATCGTGAATAGCAATCGGTATCATGGCTCACGTGAGACATTTTCGGACATTAGTTTCGGGATTTTACTTCTGGGAAGCAACCCTGCTACTCAGGTGAGTCCTCTTGTATTTAACAGTTGGAGAACTCATTAATCCCATACTACACCAAGGTACAACCATTTGTTATTGATGAAGATGAGATTTGCATTCTGCATTAAAACTTGTTGAAAGTACTCCTTTTTAAATACTATGATTTACTATATATCTAGACCTCTAGAAACAGACAAATTTATTCTATTTTCTATGATTGCATCATTTTAGTAACTGACATCTAATGTTCTTTGCAACTGAGTTTACCAAAACCTAGGGTGTTGTTGTTAAGTGCCATCGAATCGATTCTGGCTCACAGCAAACCTCTGTAGGGTTTCTGAGGACGTGAATATGAACTGCCTGCCATGAAGTTCAAACTGATCTTGAGGTCGAGTGCTTATTCCACAATGCCACACCAACATAGGTATTTTTCCCCAAATGAGTGCTGCTTTCTTGTGAAACTTAAGAAATATTTGATAACTAGAAATGGAACATTATTAACTTCTTAAAACAAAGAAATATAGTACAGAATTATTATTTGTTTAGTAGAGAAATACTGAATATTGTTGACATATCTACAGGTTAATAATTAAATGAATAAAAATAAACATCTTCCAAGTACTATTTTCTAATGAGCTTAGCTCCAGTACTATATGAAAGCAAAATCATAAATAATTAGTCTAATATCAGTAACAAGAATGGTTTAATCAATGCAGTCAACATTTCATTATGGCAATTCACCATAACATCTATTATAAAAAATGTATTTTTTTATACTTACATATTATATATATATTATGTTTATCAATAAATCTTGAGATTTTTGTCACATTGGATTGAAATTATCAAACATTGCAATTCAGAATGATCATTGTGATTATGATTATTTTGATCAATATTAAATAATTTTAATTGGACATAGGTTTTGTGAGTAAACTAAAATATTTGTTTGAATAAAACATACTCACAATAAAAGTTTATACAGCCCCTATATTCCTGTATCAGGATTTTTTTCTGCTTTCCTAAATAGAATTAAATATTACTGTATCACAGATAAACTTTAGATTGAATGAGTTTCTCATTCTATGAATAATTTTTTATTTGTGAAAAATTCAATATTTTCATTTCCAATGAAAGAGGATTTCCTATAGTAAAGAAATGGAAGCTCCCTCTACTGGAAATGTTCTGTAAATAAATAAACTTTAAGAAAAAAATTATGTCCATTAAGTATATTCATGTTGTAGTGAACAAACAAACAAACAAACAAAACACATAAAGTAAACCTTAACAAAGGGAACACATCCAAGTAAAGAGATTAAGAAATAGAAACAGTCATTCCATCCCCTCCAACCATCATGTACTTTCTTAGGCACTATCTCACTCAAATATAATCAGCATCCTGATTCATATAGTACAATGTGTGCATTTTTTTCTGTTTTTTTTTAACTTTATATAAATACTCATTTGAGTCTGGTTTCTTTTGATAAACACTTAGGCAAAATATTTATAGTGTTGCAAATAACAATAAACTTATTAGTTCTCAACACTCCATGGTATTCTATTATATGATAACATCACAATTGATTCATTCTCATATAGATGGGGATGGGTATTTTTCACATTTTGGATATTGCTGCTATGAACATCATTGTATTTTTTTGAGTGCTTTATAGATTGAGTGCAACAATGTCCTTAGGAGAGGAACTCCATACCCATAGGACGAGTATGAGTGTGATTAGCTTTTTTTGACACTACTAGTTTTCCAAAGTTGTCGTTGTGTGCCATTGAGTCAGTTGTGACTTATAATGAAACTGTTTAAGGTTTTTGAGAGAGACTGGTGGGCTTGAACTGCTGATCTTGCAGTTAGCCATTCAGTGTTTATCCTACAACACTGTACCAATCCTGTCAACAAGGTATAAACATTCTTGGTGCTTCCTGGTACAAACTTTGATCAGGAAAATACTGTTACAATAAAATGTTCCAGCATGCTTTTCGATTAGTATTGCAAGCCTACAATATGTTTTCTTTCATTTCATAATTTTCACTTTTTGATTAATGAGCTTTACTAAGGCAAAAGAAGTACAAAACATTTACTATTATGATACCATTTAGAATAGTATTTATGACAAGAAATGTGTCAGGTATATGAAATGTAATTTAGAAAGGAGTGTTTTCAAAGAAAAGCATTTTTTAAACAAGCACAAGCAAGGAAGTTATTGAAATAGATATGTTGTTAAGTGCCATCAAGTTAGTTCCCACTCATAGCAACCCTATGTTGGGTTTCTGAGAAACAGTTGGTGGATTTGAACTGCCAAATTCATGTTTAACAGTCCAGTGCTAACCCTACAGTGCCACACCAGGAGAAATCTAAAATCTCAAATTGTTAATTTTTTCTCAACTTTCACACTTTACTCAGAAATTGTTGTTTCCTGGAACTAGTCTTCTATGGTCTTTAGGTTCTAATTCTTAATGCTAATAAAATACAAAGCAGAGTATTAATGCTCAGCTGTCTTTGAAATGTAGTTAAGTCATAAAGAGTTTGCAAAGCAAATTTCGAAAGAAATGGAGCTGCCAAAATGTTTTATTTAAATGGTTTATATTAATCATATAGAATTTTATTTTTTATTTCTACAATTTATATAAACACAAACGTGCTACTGAGTAAATTATGTCAAATTTGGTCAAAATTGAATGTTAGACTTTAAGGTAATCAGAAATAAATGTTTTGTTGTTTTACTTCAAGGTCTAAGAAAAAATATTTTAGCATAGAATTTTTTATTATTGGTATGTTTTGGAGGATTTGTTGTTGTTAAGAGCCATTGATTCAGTTACAACCCATAGCGACCCTGTATAGAGTTTCCAAGGATTGGCTGGTATGCTTGAACCACTGACTTTGTGGTTCAAACCAGCTTTGCAGTCCAGCACATTAACCCACAGAACCACCAGGACTCCTTTTGGAGGATAGGGAAGATATTTTGTAATATAGGCTTTGGTATCTCAAGATAACAACTTTTTCTACTATGATTATTTCTTACATGCTTATACAGTAGTAATCTACATAGGTCATTAAAAACAAAATTATTCCACACATAATAGAGAATTCTTCCTCTTATGCTTATACTATAAATTTTCTCAGGTGTAGATGGATTATAACTCAGCCCTATAATCAAGAATTTAATCAGATTGTTCTGCAGATTCAGAATTACTTGTGAAATATTTCCCCTTCCATATAGTTTTTACTCTCTCAATCACACAGCTATTTATTAAGACAAGTCAATCATTAATCATGTGTTTAATGTATAAATTAAGTAAATCAACATTATTTATTTCCCTAATTGTATGCACAAACTCTTGACCAAGGCACAATTTTGCTATAAATTATTGGTGATGGTGGTTATGTGTCATGGAGTTGGTTCCGACTCATAGTGACCCTGTACATGGTTTCTGAGGCTGTAAATCTTTGTGGAGCAGAAAGCCTCATCTTTCTCATGCAGAACAGCTAGTAGTTTCGGACTGCTAACCTTGAGGTTTGCAGCCAATTTGTAACCACTAAACTCCCAGAGCTCCTTATAGATGACTGGGAAAATTAATTTGTTTTTCTTTTATAATGGGACTTAAGGTCCAGAAAAGAATAAAAAAGCAAGGGGTCAAGTGAAAAATATGAAAGTGAATAAAAGCAATATTTCAGAATATGGAAAGTTAAGAAAGGTATCAGGAAGACTTAGTACTTACAAAGTACTTACACTAAGCCTTGAATGATGATTATTAAATAGGTGAGATGTAAGGACACTACTCTAGGTAAAGACTATCATGAATATATAGTATGCTTAAATAATGGTGATAGTCAAATTCAATTGAAAAATAACAACTTACAGTTTACAATTATATTTCACTAGCAATGACTACCAAGCTGCCTTCAATAATGAATCAACAAACGTATAGAGGAGTTGTGGCATTCCTTCATAATGTAATATGCATCAAATTTTAGAATAATTTAATTAATTAAAAATAGTTTAATTGTAATTGAGTAGTCCTAACTGTGGAAATAATATTATAACTTCCCTTGGAATATCTATATAAAGAAACAAATATCAGTAATCAAAGTACAAGAAAATGTTAATTTTGTTGTTTAGTATTTGGATCATGTTTGAGTTATTCATTATCTCTGCCTATTTCTAGACAGTATTACTGGTGAAGCCATAGTCTATTTAAAATAAATAGTAGAACCATGTAGAAGACACCATTTATTGGGAGAAAACTAGATGTTGCATTTATTTTGGAGTGTGATGAGTTTGGAATACACTGCCCTCAGCTGGGAATGTACACATGCTGGAACTGAAGATTTAAGAGTAAGAGACTCTTAAAGTCTTAGCTACAGAATATATATTTCTAATAGTTAGCTACAGAATCTTCAATTATTATGATTTCAACTAACCACATGAACTAGTCAGTGATCATGCATAATATATTTTACCCATTTAAATGCTCTTAGGAGCTTTTTGGGGGCATTATTCCAGCAATAGTGGATCTCTCACTTTTCCTTAAATAATGAGGCACATATAATGAATCTTCCTTGATTTTCCCAACATACTGATCTCCTATTCTTCATTATCAATAAATATCTTTATATTTGCGTTAATATTATTTATTGAAAATAATTTCACATATATGTGAATGACTATGTGGAAATATGTTTTTCATTCAGAGAATGATATTATCTGTGGCTTTATTATGCTTGAGAAAATGGGTAAGAAGTGACAAAGGAGTCACTTATAGAGAATTGATTCTGTTAGGACACAGTGTTTAAGGAAGCAGCTGCTTAGCTGCAGAGAGAAGCTATTCTGATTACATGGCAAGGACATTTTCAGGAAACAGATCAAAATACACATATATTATCATAAGAGGAAACACTAATAAAAAGTAGCTTCATACTAGTACTTTTTAAAAAAATGTTTCATAATCTCCATACTACCAATGCTTTTAAGATAAATTATTGCAATTAACTCTGAGGCAATTCAATGCAC